TCAACATATATAGATAAGTATCATTTACACAATTTTTTTTGTAATTAGTTCAACATATAAACTACAAAGAATAATGAGTTACATGTAGGGCAGGCCGAGTGGGAGGGGGCTTAAAAGCCGACGTCCCGCGGCAGCGTAATTTCGATTTTCAGAGGCAAAAAAAAATACAAATTTGAATTATTATTTTTTTTTCAAATGCAAAAATAATTATTCTTAATTTATTTTGTTTATTAGATTTATATTTATTTTTAAAAATACAAATGATTCATATTTTTTTTTTATGGTTTATGGTTTAGCATTAAAAATTAAAAATAAATATAATATATTTTTAAAAAATTATCCGGGGCAAGTTGGGCCTGAAAAATATAAAACCCGGAGGTAGCCGTGGAAAAATCGTATCTCTGTCTCTGGTTTAAATTATATCATATTTTAATCTAACTTATAGTTGGCTATCTCATATAAAAAAATATTTCAGCTATTATAATATTCTTCTGGAAAAATGTAACCTTAGAAAAGGGTATATTCGTAAAAATTAAGGCCAGTAAGATATTGATTTATCAGTTTCACAGTTTAATTTTTTATGGTAATCAAATTATTCCACTTGTTGAAGAAGAGTGATTTTCTTATATAGTAGTTTTCCAATGCACAATTAAGCTTAAAACTAAAAGTCACCGAACTGAGATTTGAGTGTCTAGAAAGAAGATGCTTCAAGGTTGAAGCGACATTAAACATATTCGCATTCCACCATGACGTTAAAGGTACGTTAAGTTAATTGAAAAATTTTTGCTGTAATCAGATCATGACAAAAGGATTTAAAATATTCCCATAACGTCACCATATGGGATATTTTTATTCATTAAATTGTTTTCGATTTTGGGCCCTTATTATCATCTCTGTTTTGCATTATTATTATTTTTTCGTATCTTTCATCTCGCTTTTTTATCGTAATCATTTTTCAACGTTTAAATTGTCGAGAACGTTTAACTAATGATGATAAGAAAAATATGTTATATTGCATGGCACTATAGTTGTTGGGGTATAATGACCCTACTTTTAAGCGATTAATAGCTCAACTCGCGAAAATGTTCAACTGTAGGATTTTCTGTTATCGGTTGAGAGATATGGGTTAGAGTTAAAATCAGTGTTGTTAAACTGCTCAATTTTGAGCCAATTTTTTAAAAACGGCTAACTCAATATTTCATCTAGAATAATCTTACGCGAGCCTGAAGATTTTTGTTTGTGAGAAGGAACAAAGTTCCATAAGACATATATCATCGAAATCTCGAGGCTTAAGCAATATTTTTCTGGCTAAAATACTGAGTTAGCCGTTTTTAAAAACCGGCTAACTCAGTATCTCACTGTCTAAGAATAATCTTACGCGAGCCTGAAGATTTTTTGTTTGTAGATGGAACAAAGTTCTAAGACATATATCATCGAAATCTCGAGGCTTAAGCAATATTTTTCTGGCTGCAAAATATTGAGTTAGCCGTTTTTAAAAACCGGCTCAAATTGAGCGTCATAACAACACTAGTTAAAATACGTTAAAAATGGGTGGTTAATAAAATTTAATTAATTTTTTATATCCATAACCTGTAATATCTGATCACGTGATTGTAAATAGACTAATAGAAATTTAAATAAATCAGCTGTTGTAAGGGCAATTTTTTTTGAGCGTAGTTCGGACCATAATTTTTTTTTAAATTGGCTAAAATAAACGTTAAATTTATATTATGCGGAAGTAAAAAAAAAGCAGACTGGGGTTTTTTCTCGAAGATATACCTTAACTTTGAAGAAAACATAAAATAAATTGACCCGCGCTCAAATGGTCAGCGGATTTTTTTCCCCTCGCGTATTTAGGTCTAGCCACCAGAGAGCGTCACTAAACTTTTCCTTGTCGGGTTAAAATGTTTAATAATTTTTTGCAAGGGGCTCATCCGAACCTTGACAGGACGACTAAATTATGTTTGTTCCACTAGGGGGGAAAAATGTAGAACCGTATCACATGACCATATCTTCATTTTATTAATATATTAACTTTGTGCGGGTGATTTCGGAGTTTTTAAGAGCTTATTTATAATTGTATTTTTTTTAAATAATGCGATTAATAACAGAGTACCCGAAAAAGATCCAGTCAATCAATTATGCCGCTCATTTTCTATCGTCAGATTGAATCATAGCGAATCACGCTTTCCTTCATTTTGTTCCTTGTACGTTCACACCTTTCCTCCCGATGACACAGAAGTGCATACTCAGGTTTCACTTCTTTTTTTTAAGCACCTAACATTTGCAGCTAAATAATGGAATTTTGATGTAAATGGTAATCAAGTTAATGACAAATCACATGTTTTCAAAAGTGAGATCAATAACCATTATCCATATAAAACAAATGTAACTACGTCATAAGCGATAACGTATTTACGCCACGACTATCACTGGCTAAAGCTATGCTAGAACATTCGATTGCGTAATTTTCAAAAAGTTGACCAAAAAATTTGAATATTTGTAAGAGGGTTTTTCGCGCATTAAATTTTTTATCAACTCGCTGCTCTGTTAGTTTGCATGTTAATTTCAAAATATTAAACGCCGAGAGTCCTTCTGATTCTTTAGACACGTGATCTTTTATATAATAGATCCCACGTGCTAAATGAATGAATGAATTCCCATATTCTAAATGTGATGGGCTATTATATAACTATGATATATATTTATACTCTTTTATAAATTTTTGACTATTATATTTATAGTTTTTAAAATATTTATTTATATCTATATATGCTAGCGTCAATTTGTTATTTTTTTTTCAATTTTTAAATCATTTTTTTGGGCGCCCTTTTTTTAAATTTAAATTTCGGATTTTACCGGAAATGGATTCTATCATGTTTTGGAATACTTATCTCATGAATTTTTAGACAATTTAGCTGTTAACATTTGAGTCATTTAGAAATTTATATATAAAAAATATATGGTAATATAAATTACACTAAGTTTAAAAGTTCCCGGAAAAAGTTGTCTGAAAAAGGATTCCATACATGGCGGCATTCATTTCCGGTAAGACCGGTTTTTAAAATTTTAAATCATTTTTTTGAGCGCGCTTTTTTAAAATTTGAATTTCGGATTTTACCGGAAATGGATTCTATCATGTTTTGGAATACTTACCTCATGAATTTTTAGACAATTTAGCTGTTAACCTTTGAGTCATTTAGAAATTTATATACCAAAAATATATGGAAAAATTTAATATAAATTGCAATAAGTTTAAAAGTTCCCGGAAAAAATTGCCTGAAAAAGGATTCCATACATGGCGGCATTCATTTCCTGTAAGATCAGATTTTTTTAAATTATTAAAAAAAAAACGCGCTTCAAAATATGATTTATAAAGTTGAAAAAAAATAAACACACTGACGACTAACATATACTATATATATGTGTATAATTTCTACAAAAAACGCATAATTTCTTGAAATGCTCAAACGGGCCCATGATACATGTAATATCTTAATTATATTATCGCTTACGATAGTGTTGTTAAACGGCTCGATTTGAGCGGATTTTTAAAAGCGGCTAACTCAATATTTTATCCAGGAAAACGTTATACGCAAGTCTGAAGATTTTGGTCATAGATGGCACAGTTTGGACATCTATTAGGGAAATCTAGAAGCTTGTGACACATTTTTTCTGGCCAAAATATTGAGATAGCCGTTTCAGAAAATCGGCTTAAATCTTGTCGTTTATCAACACTAGCTTACGAAAGGTAAGCGATATTCAGCTTTGTCGTAGCATTTTTTTCCAATGATCTTTTTTTTAAAATAATTCTAAGTTAGAATTTTTTTTTCAGATAATTTTTATTCCATTACCACAAGCTATAAAAGGTAGGAAGGAATCTAAGAATGGACTTCATTTTTATAGTTCTTACTTTTAGGGTTCAGCCGGATCTCTGATTTTTTTAAGCATTTGTGACTCTAAACTTCTTCTATCCTTTTTTTTTGGATTCTGGATTTAGGGTTTTGTGTTTGACGTTCGAAAACTTATTTTGCTTTCTTGAACTATAATTTTTTCGCTTTCCTTTGTTTCATAATTTTTCAATAGTTAAAAACTTCTTTGATATTTTTCCGGATAGGCCCTATTTCTAAGATAAAATCTGATTCTTGAAAAAATAATAAAGAGAGATTTCGCCTCTTTTCCGAAAAAACCAGGAAAAAATGTGATCGACAGGTATGTGGGAATAAGGCTTTTCTTTCTCTCGGCAATTCCAAGATGGATTCTAATGTGCTATTAAGGAAGGGGGGTGGGTTGACTTTACCACTAATTAAATATAAAAATTGGGGAAATATATTTTTTTTATCAAGCTTAAAAAACGGCTAATCCTTAAACCAGGAGTTTTTTTATTCTTGAAAATATAGCTCAACTTAGAAAAAAAAAATAACATCAATAAATTGACTTGTGTCTCAATTCTCAGCTGATTTTCTTCGACGCGGGCCTAACCCATTTTTATTCATTACCCTACCATAATTTCATATTACTTTTTTCTTTCTTTTTTTTAAACATTATTTAGATTTTTTATTTTTTTTCCTCCCTTTTATACCCAGTTTCGGTCTGAGCTGATTGACATTATATCTAAAATCCCAAATTCGGAGAACGTTAAGGATACCGACGAAATCATCAAAATGGACCCCAAAAATCGTTCGCCTAACGCATTTTGCGGGAAATATCTATCGCCGCACCCCTTTTACGTGGCGAAAAATCGTGGCTTCGCGACTCTACTTATTGAAAAGTTACTACCAAAAAAATTTTTTTTTGTTAATCACGAGGCCTTTGTTCATTTTTATGATTAGTCAACCTCTTTCAGTCACATGACTTGTTGATAACTTGATCGATCTCTTTCAGAGGTGGGAGGTGGTATTTTTTTTAAAAAAAAAGCCATACATAGTCAAAGTAACATCTGTAAATCTAAAATCCCGGCTGGGCTAGACTGAATATCAAATGACTAGTTAGAAAAATCCATTTGCCACTCGTTATAACCAATGTTATCTTGAAAAAAACATATTTGCAAAAAAATATGTAGCAGGCAAAAATTATTTAAATAATCCGAACCTTGACGGCGGATTTGAAAATTAGAAAATTTGAAACCCGGGTCGGGCTAAAAAATATTTATTCTTTTTAAAATCCGGGCCGGGCTCGAGAATTAAAAAGCTGGCCCTAAAAATTGACCCCTCTTATAGATCTCTCTTATGTATCGAGTTTTTAAATTTTTGTGTTTTGAAATAGTGGATCACAAATAATGTAATGACGCAAATAAAGGATTATTGTAAATTTTTATATTTTCGACATTTTTTTATTTTTCTCGTGGAAGAATAATAGTGTTTGAAGAATTGATTTATCGAGGAGGAATAAAACGCGGACGATATATAGCTATATTTTTTATTTATATTTGTGTTCACCTAGTTTCACCGGTGATTCAACTGCCAAACTATTTGACGAAGTTTTCGATGATTCCGCTAACGACATCCATCAAGATGGAAGCGGTTATTTGTGTCCGATAGCACCTTCGAATATCGGTTATTTGTGCCCGATATCTCCTTCGAATGTCGGTTATTTGTTCAGAGCCATCAATGTTATACCCATTTGCCGCTACCAGGATTACGTTCAATCTCGCCGAAATTATGACAGATTGACGGATAGAATTGGACATTGTCTCGTAACGTTTGGGATTATTATATATATATTTTTTAATTTGCAGCGTTTAAGGGTGCATCCTACGTCTCTTATATTTTTTTTTTATTTGATTGACAATCATAAATATTATACCTTTAAAAAAACCTTAATTTAAATATATTATCCCTCTTATGACCAAAAATAAAAGTATCGCCCTTACATGCTTTTCTGAATAGAATATTTTATTACATTAAAAAAATTATTTTCATACTTAACATACAATTTCCTATAAAAGAATATAATTTTTTTATTGGGCTATATCATATCCTTTTTAAAAAAAATAATTTTTAGGCCCAGCTTGCCCTGGGTATATTTAAAAAACTAAAAAACAGCTCGGTCTGTGTGCCAGCCCGGACTTAGGGCCGAGCCGGACCGAACCTGCAAGTGACCTTCATGGACCAAGCCAGCTCATGGTCCACAGACTAATATTACATCTACCGTGGGCCGGGCCTGGGTTTTCCAATTTTTTTTAATATTAAATTTAAAATTTAGCTTATTTAAAACAGTTGCTAACTTAAAGATTATATTGTCATTTTTCTTCTTCTTCTTCTAATAATTAATATATTTTATTGTAAACAAAACGATTACCTTATATACACTTTAAATATTGTTTATTTTTTTTTATTATTAAATTACAATAAATTAAAATTTTTGGATATAAATATTCAATATTTAATATAGTCCGGGCAAGGCCTGAGCCTCAAAAATTTTTCTTACTGCGGGCCTGGGCAGGCTTGGTCAAAAAATTAAGGCCCGCCAAGGTCTCTGCTGCAGGCCTCTGATATTTCTTTAAAAAAAAAATTAGTTATAGTAATTATTATTTATTTGTTTGCATCATTGAAGAAACAAGATAAATAAAGGTTTCATAAATGTCGGTAAAATCGGAGATCCAGTACAATCTCCCTGCGTTAATCTGGCTAAAATACTGATTTTCGAGGCCTCATTGGAGACTGAAGTATTATTTCTTAACATCTAATAAACAAATAAAAAAATGAAAGAATGAAAGAATGAAAAAAAGAAAAATTAAAAAAGGAGAGAAAGAAAGAAAGATAGAAAGAAAGAAAGAAAGAAATAAATAAAGAAAGAGAAAAATTAATAACAATAAATATATTATAAATCATCCTCCAGGAAAGTATATTAATTCCTTTTAATTATTGATATATCTTGTTTTTTTAGATGTCACGTGACGGGTCCGAAAATATTGACGGCTTACGCGATGCCGAATCTGATAACCTTTTGATTCAGTATATACTGTACCCCCATGTTCAGTTTACCCCGAAATCTGACGCCCCTCTCTCATCAAAAATAAAGTATAACCTGTTATATTTGAATATCTTATATATTTTAAAGGTTACCTTATTTGTACATTATATTATTATAACTTCCTACATTTAATAATATATTATGGAAGTCAATGTAATTGCATAATATTAGAAGTTAAATTACATAATTATAAAATACTATATATGTAGGAAACATTTTAAAATAAAGTTACCGATTGTTTTGACTATAAAATAACCAAAATCCAAATTGATATTAGTTACAGTAATTTTAATACGTATATATTTTTTTCAAGAAACAGGAGCTATGAAGCGGGTTTTAATCTAGATAAAGTGCCCTTATATGACCCAAATGGATTCCTTAGCATCTTGACCGAGATCAGGGTGGAACCTAAGGGCGGGACTGTAGCTCGTGCTTCTCTATTAGATACTTCCAATAGGCTCTCAGACCAAGACTTAATCTATTCGAATCTACCCTCTCAGGTGATAAATAAAGAATTATTATCAGTTATCATTATCATTATTATTAATTATCTTACAAATATAAATAATGACACGTAATTTTTTTTTTGCATAACTGCTTTATTTTTTAACCGTTATAACCAATCGGTTAAAAAAACGGCGAAACGTAGTTTTTCGTCTAGAAAACCATCATTTTAAGCCTCAGTTTTTTTTGTTCTTAAAAATAATAGCATAATTATGAAGAAATCAGAATTTAAATTCTATCCACTTTTTGTCAAATTAAAAAAAATCCATAATATTTAAATATTAAGTCCAAAACGATAATCCTTTTGAAAACTATAATGAATTTAATCTTTAAAAAATTGCTCCACCTGTTAAAATTTACTAAAAATGGAGATGGAATAATTTAATTCTCAAGCTACTACATGAACATAATTTTTATTTTAAAATTTATATCGCGCCATTAATCTTATTTAAAAATAAAGAGGGAAACCCCGAGTTGAGCCGTACCAAATATTGTACGAAAAATTATGTCTGACTTTTATTGATTGGTTGTTATCCTCTTTTTTTTACGAACTCTTCTTTTTTATGCATATATATATTTCGCCGGTTTAGTATTATAGTGTTCTATATCCACTTCTTTCTTTTTTTTGGCAAAATGCTATTTTTTCCCGATAAATCAATCTTTCAGACCGTGGCTTGGTTCGATTTAATTTAGATACTTAATTCCTCTTTGGTATAGGCTAAAGCTTTTGGTATACTTTTCGTTTTTTTGATTAAGTTTTGTTTTTTTTTGTTTTTTTAAAAGAAATTTGAGGACACCTGATCAGTAGCTCATTATTATTCCATATCACCAGTGATAATGTTAATAAATAATTTAGAATAATCCTTTATTTGCACTAGCTATGGTGTGCTTATCTAAAAATACAAGAAATTTTTTTGTTTAAAACGCATTCCTCCTGAAGAATTATTTTTTTAAAAAAAAAATGGAGATAGAACATTTATAATACTCAGCCAACGATTTATGCATTTCTGTAATTTTAAGTCACTTTTGGAGTATATAATTTATTGCTGAAATCGAAATCTATTTTAAAATTCTTTCAATTTACTGTTTATATATATATATATCGTATTGGGATTCGGAATCTCTAGATTAAATCCTTTACTGAGAGCGATTTATAAAAAAATTTAAAGTTCGATTCAACCGGAAATATAGTCTAGCATGGGTAGAGTATCCTAACTGTGAATTTCCAAGCCACGAACTTTAGAAACTACTTCTAATTTAAATTTAATTTTTATATGGATTATTTCGTATAAATATAAAAAATACTAAAAGTGTCTATCGCTGAAATTGGCTGAAATTTATAGGGGTAAATACTCTGCACATGCTGGAATACGATTCCTGTAAAATTAGATTTTTTAAAATCCAAAAAATCGCCCTTAGTAAATGATTTAAAATTGAGAGTCCAAATCCCCGTACGACATATATATATATGTTAGCCTCAATCTGTTTTTCCCGGCAAATGTGCTATTTTTTCAACTTTAAATCATTTTAAATTTAGAAATCTGATTCTACCGGAAGTACATTCCATCATTTTTGCAATACCTATCTTAAGATATTTGGAGAAAGAAAGAAAGAAAGAAAGAAAGTTGTAGACAATTTTGCTTATTAACCTTTGAATCATTTATAATTTATGTTAAAAAAATTTATGGAAAATCTAAATATAAATTTTATTAAGTTCGTAAAGTTCACGGTTAAAAACTGTCTGAAATTTATAGGAGTAGGTATTTCCAAACATGTTGGCATGCACTTCCGGGTAAAATCAGATTTTTTAAATTTGAAAAAAAAGGCGCTAAAAAATAAATAATTCGTTGCCGGAAAATATACAGTGACGCTGAACGTATGTATATTAATTTAATAAATTTTTATAAACTCTAATTTAGCTGAAATTTAGATAGCAAAAAACTTAATTCAAAACTCATTTTCTCAAAGTGTTCCGAACCTGCCCCTGTCCGAAAATACTCCTGTCCATTATTGATCATATGTTTTGTTCGGTCCAATCAAACAATTCTTAACATTCTGTACCCCATTCACTACTCACGCAACCCCCCGATTTTTTTTAAAATAAGTTATCTTTAAAATGATTGGCTTCGATTCAGGTTCCACAACTCTTTTTTATTCGGCTGGGAATACAATCTATTTTATGATCGATTAAAATGAGATAATGCTCTTCCTTTATGCAGTGATTCCAAGCAGATTTTTGGGATGAATATTTGTCAACTTGAACCTTCAAAAGTTAGTTAGTTCTTCTGGAGTCGTCGTATTTATTATCTATAATTATTTCTAGATTTTTTTTAATTTTTGTATGTAATAATTCAATCACAAAATAAAACCGATTTAAATAAGCAGGCATGCACGTATGGGTTGCGGATAATTTTTTAAAATTTTTTTAGAATTATTAGAGGAGTTATTTGAAGAGTATCTTTAAGTTTCAGAAATTTATTGAGACTAGTGACTATAGAATATTGACAATTTCTAATACACAAATTCGAGAATATATATTAATATTTTGATCGAGACTGCCACATATGGTTAATATATATATATTTTAAAAAAAAATCCTTAATTGGAAACGTCTGTGGGCATAGTCGATGAGTGCGTGGCTCCCAAAACCCATAAGTTCATGTTTAGGAAATTGCTTTATGTCGACTTGGCGGTTATCTAACATTAACCCATGAATCACCTATAAATTGAATGTCCCGATAAAGATTTTTTTTAAAAAATATATAAATTTAAATTATACGTGTAGAAAATATAGATGAAGCATAAAAAATATCCTTAAAAAAATTATTGCATGTAGTATATAAACCTGACAAAGAATTCATGAAAAAACAAATATTGGTATTATTAAAAAGTGGGTGGGGGGGAAAATTAAGAATCATATTATAAATTTATAATGTAAAATTCGATCTTGGGAATGAGTGAGCTAATTTGTCAAGGATTTCTTCAGTGCCTGGGAGGCAACCCCCTATGTATATTAAGACGAGATAACCCGTCAATCTATTTTCGGAGGTTGTACTTCCCACTTCTCGGGTATGTTTTTATTCTTGTTAAAGGAGAAAAATGTTCTTTCAATTTGGTAGGTGTATACTATAATGGGGGACATTGTTGCCAAAATATATAATAATTTTAATATTATTTGCAAAAATAGTCCAAAAATGTGCCTTAAAATTTTGCGAAGCATTTGTAGCCTTATTTTGGAGCAACCATATGATCAAGGGAATAATTTGCCCCCACCGTGTAAGCGATGCTAAAATTTGATTTCGGATAGTATAATAGTGCGCACAAAGTGAGCGATTACGTTTAGTCGTAATTTTTAAATTCCAAAAAAAAAAACGTAACCACTCCCTCGTGTAAATTTAGGTTGTCTTTTTTTTATATTAATAATCCGTCCATTTCGAAATTTTAAATAAGTTCTAGAAAAAAAAAAGGATTTGTCTTTGAAAATTATATTATCGTCTGCTTTCATATTTCTTTAATTTTCTAAATATTCCTTTTTTTAGGATTATAAAGTAAGTTATTTATAATTACATTTTTATATTATATTAACAAAGCGAGGGATAAAAAATAGTAATGAAAATAAACAAACCTATTTGCGTGTTTTTTAAATGGTTGCTAACGCCAAACGATAATTTTACCAATTTGCGCGAAGCCATTTGATATGCGTTATTAAATTGCGTTAACGTTTATATATCCGCTTTAACCTCCTCTTTTTTTAAACTTAAAAATCACCGAGACTAATAGCAGAGTCCTACCCCCACACCCCCTCCTTCTCAACGAATATTATGGTATTTACATTTGGCACTTCCTTCCACCCCAACCTAAATTTCCTATATTTCGTGACTTACCCACAACAAAGATATCCTTCCTTCCGGCATGGGAAACTACGCGTGTTGTTTTTAGGGGTCGTTTTCTGACACATCCCAGGACGCGCGTCATTTTTGAGAAAGGTAATACTAGGAACATAATCTTTTTTGGGGGCCTGGTTTCAACCGATTCATCCAAACGAGCCTGGCCCTTTTGACCGGCCTGAATTTTATTAACGATCTTACCGTCTCTCAAGTCTCTAATCCAAATAGCTCTTTAGAATGAGTAGGAAGCAGTCTTAGACCTTTAACTTCTTGGAATTTCTAAATGATGATTTTCTCTTTGAATAATTTTTTTTTAAAAAACACTCCTATATTTTTGGATAATATCTTTATATATATTTTTTTATTTTTTAAAAAACAAAAAACAAAAAATCCAATTACAAACAATAAAAAATAATTATTTTAAAAATAATGAATCATTATTGGTTTCATAACATCAAATTATTATAAAATGTTAATTATATAAAAAACCAATTTATAACTATAAACCTACCTTTATAACTTCCTTGTTAAAAAGAAATTTATTTTTTCTAATTTTATATTCTGAAAAAAACGGGAAAAAAACATTTAAAATTTTTTATTTATATATATTTTCTTCATAAATTCTTTTTCTAAAACAATATAGTTTTTTTTCTTTTCTGATTCTTATCATCATGGATATTTTATAAGTATATTATTAATATAATTTTTGTTTTATATATTTTTGTCTTTAAATTTATATATATATATATTATATTATATTATTTTTTTTCTTTTTTTAAAAAAAATCAAATAACCAATAATCAATCAATATTTCTAATCAATAATTTTTAGAAGAAAAAAATTGAATATTATTGGATATCATTTTTTCTCGAAATTTATTTTAACATTTTTCATTTTTTGCGCTACGCTATTATTTTTTGGGGGAGGTGTGAAAATAAAAGATGATATCATTTTACATAACAACCAAGTAAATCTATATTAATAATGAATTTATTTTTCATAAAACAAAAAAAATATAATTAATATAATTATAATATTTATATAAAGATTATTATTAAATATATTATTTTAATGAAAAATATTTTATTTTTATTTATTTGCGCATAAAT